CCTGCATCCTGCACATCCCCTGCATCCTGCACATCCCTGCATCCTGCACATCCCTTGGATCCTGCACATCCCTGCATCCTGCACATCCCTTCATCCTGCACATCCCCTGGATCCTGCACATTCCTGGATCCTGCACATCCCCTGGATCCTGCACATCCCTTGGATCCTGCACATCCCTGGATCCTGCACATTCCTGGATCCTGCACATCCCCTGGATCCTGCACATCCCTTGGATCCTGCACATTCCTGGATCCTGCACATCCCCTGGATCCTGCACATCCCTGCATCCTGCACATCCCCTGCATCCTGCACATCCCTGCATCCTGCACATCCCTTGGATCCTGCACATCCCTTCATCCTGCACATCTCTTGGATCCTGCACATCCCCTTGATCCTGGCTCCTCTCCTGGCAGGCAGTAATTTCATTACAGCACAGGCTGCTGTGAGGCACAGGAGCTCCTGTTTCCCCTGAGACCACAGCTCCAGGAGCTGGGCCATGCTGGCCTGGAATGCTGTCAGGTGCCTCAAGTCACGGAATTGTTCATGCTGGAAAAGACCTCCGAGGTCATGAGTCCAACCACCATCAAAACCAACTCTGATCCCTTCTCATTCACACCCTGTTTTACCTCCCGTACCATTACTGGCTTCAGATGATGGAGGGAATAAAAGAAAGGCAGAAATCAAATGTGAAAAGGTTTCTGCTCTTTTCAGATGTATTCCCTGAGCAATCCCAAGGGAAGCTGAACTTCCTCATGGTTTATGGAATCAGAGAATATGCTGAGTCCCAAGGATCATAGAGCTTCTGGCCCTGCACAGACCCCTCAACAATCCCCCCTGGGCATCCCTGGAGTGGTGTCCAAACCCTCCTGGAGCTCTGGCAGCCCCAGGGCCGTGCCCATTCCCTGGGGAACCTGGGCAGTGCCCAGCACCCTCTGGGTGAGGGAAGAACCTTCTCCCAAAATCCAGCCTGGCCCTGCTTTATCCCAGCTCCAGCTGTTCCCTCAAGTTTAGTCAGTCCACTGGAAACCACTGCAGACAGGTACTGACCTGTAGGGAAGTGCCCACCAAAAAACACATTGAATATTTCTTCTGGTGTGATGTCTGCTTCGAATTCTGTGTAGTAATTGTAGTGCCTGGCCTGGCCAGTGCTGACGTGCTCGTGGTCACTGCCCAGCTCATCGTAGCGGAGCCGTTTCTCAGGGTTGCTCAGAACTGCAAAAGCGTTGCCTATTGCTGGAGAGGGAATTAAAACCAGTGTTACATCCCCACAGCTCACACTCTTCTAAGTGGAGAAGCAAAAAAAAAAACAAAACAAAAGCCCAAAGAAGCCTAGGGAATTTGTGTTTGACCAAAGATTGAGCTGCTTTTACAATGGATGTGTAACAGCTCTGGCATTACCTGTGATGGAAACCATTTCCTGCTGTCACTGATGCCAGGAGAAAAAGTGTCCCAGTACATGGAGAAACTTGAAATATTTGTAAAACTAATTCCACTTCAGCCAAGAAATTGGGTGAGAATGGAGCCCTTTATCAGCTCAAGTCAAATGCAAGTTTGGTCTGAGTGCACCTTCATGTCCCACATACAATTAACACAAAGTTAATAACTGCAGGGACCAATTAAAATCACAGGGCTATCCCAAGTTTTTTCTGCTGGCAGAGATGCTCCTGAAGCTGTGTGGCACATCTATTTCACACCTCACATCCAGCCACTCAGAAGTGCTTGTTTGGCTCATCTTCTTCTCTGATCTCTGACAGAACAAGTTCATAAAGAAATACAACCCAAACACAAACAAATAAAGAAGAGCCCTCCAGAAGCTCCTTGTTTTAACACACTGTGAATGAATCACCTGCTTTCCTCCTGCTGGGCTGCATGGAAAGGGGAAATATGGGTGATGTAGACACTGCAGCATAGCTGAGAACTCCAGACACAGCACATGGGATGCAATTTCATACTCCCATACATATATATAAAAATAACAATTTATTCATGACAAGGAGCAGTTGATGACAAACACCCAATTTTGCTGCATGGGCAGCATCAGTTCCAAGTTCTGAACCTTCTTCAGCATCATGGAATCCCAGAATGGTTTGGGTTGGAAGGAACCACGGAGTTCACCTCATTCCAACCCCCTGCCATGGCAGGGACAGCTCCCACTTGACGAGGTTCTTCCAAGCCCCATCCAAGCTGGCCTTGGACACTTCCAAGGATCCAGGGGATCAGCTGCTTCTCTGGGCACCCTGTACCAGGGCCTCAGCATCTTCACAGGGAATTATTGCTTCCTAATATCCCATCTATCCTTTCTGACAGTGTAGAGACCGTTCCCTGTGACCCTCCAGAACCTTGCAAAGCTCCTCAGAACTATCAGGGAATGAGACCTGGGATGCATTTCCCGTTGTTTCTAAGGGAAGATGTGTATTTTGCAGCACGAGCCGCAGCAGGGTTCTGTGAAGACGCCGCCGTGTCCGAACCCCGCCCGGCTCCGGCGCTGTCTCCCCCTCACCTTTGAAGGCCTCGGTGGCTCCGGGCGCGCGGTTCTTGTCGGGGTGGAACTTGAGGGCCAGCCTGCGGTACGCCCGTTTCAGCTCCTCCTCGCCGGCGTCCCGCCTCACCCCCAGGATCTCGTAGTAATCCCGGCACCGCTTGATCCTGAGGGCGCACACGGGGTTAACCCGGGCCCGCTCCCCGCCTTTCCCCGGGCTCCTCCCTCGCCTCCCCCCCGTCCTCCCGAGCTCCTCCTTTGCCCGCTCACCGCTGCACCCCGTCCAGCTGCTCGGCCGTGTAGGTCATGGCGGCCCGCGGCCGCTGCCGCCCCTCGCTCACCGCCCGCCGCCCCGCGCCGCCATCTTGTGCGCGGGGGCTGCTGGGAGCGGGCCCGTGACGTCACGGCGAAGGGCGGTGACGTCATGGGAGGGGGGTTTCTGAGGGGAGCGGGAGGTCGGGGAATGGTGGAACGGTGGAATGTCATGGAATTGTGGAATGTTCCGAGCAGGAAAGTGATGCCTTGAGGAGCTGGAACAGAGGCTGCACACAGAGTTAAGGGGAATAAAATGGATGTTTATTGTGAGGCCTTGAGGAGCTGGAACAGAGGCTGCACACAGAGTTAAGGAGAATAAAATGGATGTTTATTGTGAGGCCCACGAAAGGCCTACAAAAGCCACACCCCAGCAATATCAGTGCCACAGTGGTGGCCCCTGCCCGGATGGCTCCAAGATGGAAGGAAAGGAAAGGGTTGGTCACCAAATCTTACACTTTTATAGGTTCTGGTTAATTTGCATGAACCCACCCTCCACCTTTCCAAGGAGTTTGTGCTTAGGGCCTGAAGTTTGGAGAAACTGTCCTTGAGTTCTTACCTAGAACAGGACTGTTTTGTCTTCATCACCCCAGCACATCAGTGTGGTAATTGATAAAAGATTCGTGTTAATCACAAAAGCATTGGGGTTTGTATAAACCAAAATACTAAGCTCTGAAGTGAAGTATGGACACTAGATAAAGGAAATTATATGATAAAATCATTCTGTTTAAAATCACCTTACTATGGTATATTATGTTGTATTCTATTACATTATGTTATGTTATGTTTTCCAAATAAGTTGTATCAGCTACCAGCTTGCAAAATCAGCCTTCCCAATAACCCCTCCTGCCTTTGTCTGATCAGTGCTGCCTATCCCAAAATCCAGACTCCCAGAACTTCTCTGGTGGTGATCTACAAGGATGTTTATTCAACCACCACTGCTTATGACAACAAAAAACCAAAAATTATTGATTACAACGAGAACCCACAGTATAAGAAGAGGCTGCAAACCGAGGTTGGGTGGAGCGTGGACGTTCCCCAGCGCTGTTTGCTCTGTTTATATCAAATAAAGCAATCTGAATTTTGCTGAATATCGAGACTTTTGTCTCTCATTTATAACAAGGGCTGTGTCCTGTTCCAGCCCCACACTGCAAAATATTTCCTGATTTTCTTCATCGTTGCTAATGCTGTTGGTGGTTTCCCCTCATCCCACCTGCCAGGGTCACCTCCCACTGTCCCAATGTCCAGCCTGGCCCTGGGCACTGCCAGGGATCCAGGGGCTCTGGGCACCCTGTGCCAGCCCTGCCCACCCTCATTTATAGACCCTCAAGAAGGAAAAAGGAGGTCAAAGGACGGAAAACTAAAGCAGTGGTGAGATCCTTTGGAATCTCAGAGGTCCGGGGAGATTTGTTAAAGCTTTGCTTTCACTCAAAATCTTCTTCTTGTGCTCCATGTGGAGTCACAGGTCTCTGGGAACTGGGGCTGTCTGGGTCCATCCAACTGGGAATTATCTGGAATTCTGTGTTAAGCAAATTTATCAGTCTGATGGAGCTTGGGTGAATGACAACATTTGGCTTTTCATAAATATTACCAGAAAAGCTTCATTTATTAAGAAACAACTTATCAAACTACCCGGCGCTGATTTCAGAGGTTAAAAGTGCGTTGGCTCTTAACAGGAGCTTTGAAAATGTTGCATTTTTTTTTTTTTCTTGCTGAATTTTTTTCCTTGCCAGCTGCAAAGCACAGCTGTCTCTTGCATTGCACAGGGGGATGCTGCTCTTCCTGGTGCTGGGAAGCTTTGGGAAAGCAGTGGTGGAAGATGCTGGAAGCTCTCCTGGCAAACTTGGGCTGCCACAATCCAGGAGCTGAAGGAGCTCAGCATTTTGCTTGTGACCATTCATTGTAGACTGAGATAAACCCCTGCTCTAAGCTGGGACTTTGTTCCTTACACTTCAGCTGAGCCTCTGAGCACGTGGAGAGATAACGAATTGCCTTCCTGAAGCTCTGTTGTTATTATTATTATTATTATTAATAATAATAATAAAGTGTTTAAGATGGTGATTTGCATTTCAGCAGCACCTTTAATTCACGGCTCTCCAAACGCTTTACAGACAGGGATTAACAAAGCCTCACAACAACCCTGTGAGGTAGGTGGATGTGACATCCCACTGCTGTGGGGACAATGAGGGCACTGGGGATAAGGGGCTTGGAGCAGTCCTGCTGGGATTTGACCCAGAATTTGGGCATTTAAGGCCTTCAGCTTCGGATCAGGCTTTCCCAGCCTCGGGTCTGGCTCGACGTGGGGCTATGCTGATTAACGAGCCTGTGACTGCCTGGCACTGACTATAAAGGCCATTAATGTAAGGCAGAGGTTTATTAGCAGAGTGGATGGTGCTTTGGTGCTTCTTGCTGCTGGAATTATCTGAGTGTTTGAAGGCATATCAAAAATAGAGTTAAGTATCAAGCACCGAGCGTGGCAGGCTGTAACTGGAGAAAGCCCTTAGGCCCCAGGTGGGGAAGCTATGTAGGACACTACTGTAAATGTGCTGATCAGAAAGGACATAATAATTTATATATAAAGTCCACCCTTGCTCTTTCCCCGAAGGACAAAAATAAAAAAAAAAGAAAAAAGAACCTAGAAAGCCACTGCTGGTTGTCACGTGTCAGCTTCAAGCCCTGGGCTCTTGGCTTCATAGCACCTGCCAAAAGAACAAAAAGTGGTTCATCAGCAGCCTGCTTGGGCTGACAAAAGGAATAGAGAAATGTGTTCTCCCAAATCAGTCCCAGCTCCAAAACAACTGAAAATTTCTCATGTGGGATGGACCTGAGAGCACTCAACCACCTGTGGGGCAGGAGTGGATAAGCTGGGCTGGAGGGTAAGACCTTGATTTCTCACAAATCTCTTCATTTTTAATGGCAAACCCCTCCAGCTTTGCAGCTGGCCACAGGTGATGTCACCTGGATACATGAGGTAAACTCAGCACCTCGAGTTCAGCCAGCCCAGGTAAACCTGAGGTGGGCACTCAAACTTTTCACCAGACTCACTGGAAAAGCACTTTGGACCTTTAGAAGTTTGGTGACAGCTGGTTTTTGTCATATTTCTGAAGGAATAAAAGAGCAAAGAAATCCCTCAAGGCATGCTCTTATGCAGCCAGAGAAATGATCCCCAGCTGATTCCCTAAAAAGCAAGGCTGAAAAGGGAAACCTTTTCTGACGGGGGGTAGCTCATGCTGTTGTTGGTGTTGATGTTCTTCATGGAGATCAGAGTGATGCTGTTCCCCTTCTGGCTTGTGTCTGCCGAGCAGCTGCCAAGGAGAGGAGGAGATAATTAATTAATCTGGGGAACAAGAGAGGGAATCACAGGACCACAGAGTCACTGAGCTTGGTAAAGACCTCCAGGATCACTAAACCCGACCTTTGAGCAGACCAGAGCACTGAGTGCCACGTCCAGGTGTTCCTCAGACACCTCCAGGGACAAAATTTCTTTGCACAGAAGAACTGGAGGCAAAGAGGCAAGGCCAGGGCTGGTATGGGGGACCAGATTTGGTTTCCACCACCCACTGAGCTGCTGTCCTGATTTGGGCCCATCCACAGTGGGTTACAAGGCTTTGGAAGGTGGAATTCCCCTTTTTTCCTACCCTGAGTGCTGGGATGTGCATTCCTTGCCAGTGGAGGCTGGATGACTTTGGGGGTCAGGGAACTTTAGGGACTACTGTCCCATTTTCTGGCATGTTCTGCCTCAGTGCCTTCAGGTTAAGAGTATTTAGTGACCACTGATGCTGATGCAAATTTGGCACTTAAAATCTTGCAGACTTTGCTCCCCGTGCCCCTTGTCCCTTTCCAAAGCAGGGTTTGGGAAACCATCAGATGGAAAAATAGGAGCAAAAATGTTTTGGTCCTTTCCAGCTCTTATTTCCTGCTCTTCTCCCACGTTCAGCCTCTCCTCTGGAATAGCAGTGATGGACCACGGGCTTCTGATGGACCATTCTGTGCTTCATGTTTCTCTTCCAAAAGTCTCTGAACTGGGGCTCCTTTGTCCTGCTCTCACTGGAAACACTAATGGGCATCTTAGGGCTTGCCTAAGACTGCTCTGAGATCCAGAAACTCGAGTTTAGACCTCGAGGCTCTATTTAGACAAGGAAAACAATCAGTCTGCCTTGAGTCTTCTCTCAGTGCAGAGCCCCCTAAATATTGGTCTTCTATTTGTGTCTCTATCAGAGGATGAGGTGTTATCAAAGCTGACTTTGCTTTTCTAACTCTCTCAAAGATGTCTTGACAAGCTTCCTTGCACCTGAAATAACCAAAGCAGACTCTTTCCCTTGCTAAAATTAGCTCTGAGATGAAACAGGCACTCTCAGTCAGATGTGGGTGGTGTGAGCAGCCTTACCTCTCTGACACCATGGAGCTTCCTGGTTTCTGTTTGTCTGGGGGGAGAAAAGCAGGTGGTGATGTAGAGGTGAGAAATCATCAAATCGATCAGCTCTATTCTGAATTACTTGGTGCAGAGATATAAATGAAATCGGAATGAGATTTGAGACACCATGGGGGAAACTTGGGAGTTGATTCGGGAAAACCCTTCAGCTAAGGGGAGGTACAGGCAGGATCTGCTGGGCTTTAGGAAAGATTCTGCCTTGCCCTGTGCTGGGCACTGCTCCGTGGGAAATGGGATTCCTGAGGAAAAGGAGTGTCAAACTCCACGATTTTTGCTGGAAGAGCCGCCCACCTCTTGGAATTTGAGCTGCAGGAAATTTGAGACCACATCCAGACCAGGCTGGGCTGGGGCTCAGGTCACACTGCCTTCCTGACTGCTCAATCCGTGTCCCAGTCTGCCTTCCAAACCTCCCCACCACTGTGTAAGCTTTTCAAATTTTTCATCTTTTAGGAATTGCCAGATCCACATGGAAACTGGTGACTTGTTAATTGGGGAGGCACAGATTCCCCCAGACAAATACCTTCCGAGTCCTTGGAGTGGTTGCACTTGAACCTCAGGCTGACCACGCTGACCAGGATGATGACCACCACTATCAGGATAACAACAAAGCTGATGACACCTGGGGGTGGAGGAAAGAACCGTCTGAGTAGCAGAGAGACATCAAAACATGGCTAAAAAGATCAATATTTTCATTAATGTGAGCACGGTTCCTAATAGGCAGAGAAGCAAACAGTTGTTAGAACAAATAGCTTTATCCTCCTGTGTTTTAACCTCAAAGGGCTGCTATGAATACTTAATCAATAAATAATTAATTGGTAAGGCAGTGCCAGGAAGGCAGAAGTCAGCTGATTACACTGGGGATTGATAAGAGTCCGTGTGTTCCTGCTACAGTTGGTAAATCTTATCCCAAAAGTGTGTAAAGCCAGATAAATAAGTCATGTAACAGGGGGAGACAAGCTGGAGCTGTGGGTGATGTTATCTGTCCCATAAACCACTTTTGGACACTTTAAATCAAGTGTAGATTTGATACTGACATCAGGCCTCGATCAATCAAACAATTCTTTGCACAGGAAATTTGTCCCGCTAAGAATCCCTCAGACTTAGAATCCTGGAATGGTTTGGGTTGGGAGGGACCTTAAAGCTCATCCCATTCCTCCCTATTCCATGGCAGGGGCACCTTCCACTGTTCCAGGCTGCTCCAAACCCCATCCAACCTGGCCTTGGGCACTGCCAGGGATCCAGGGGCAGCCACAACTGTGGGTCTCATGAATTGGGGTGTCCAAAGCCTGGTGAAAGAAAGCCCCCTCCTCTCCCTGGGTGACACAAGTCCTCACCAAAAGCTGCCCCAAATCCTTACCAAAAGCTGCCACTGTCAGTGGTGATTTCTCATCTGTTGGGGTGGGCTCAGGCAAGTGGCTGGAGGAGTTGGGTGTTGGGGTGATGGGTTTGGAGGTGCCTACAGAGAAGAGAAGAGAAAGGTAGATTTATATAAAAGAGTCTATGGATAGATTAATATTATTTTTATATATTTTATATTAAAATTCTCCCACAGCTGGGAAGAGCATTCCTAGCATTGCTAGAGGCCCTAACTCTCACTTGCACTTCACTGAAGATCCAAGTTTGGATCCTGGCCAGGCTCATCAATCTTAAGAGCAAAATAAGCGAGACCTGTGTGGAATCATTGGGGTGGGGCCCCTTTTATGGACAAGCTGAGAGCACCCACAGCGTTTCCTTCTGGGACCCCGGTGGGGAAAGGTCAAAGTCAGTGCTGGCACTTCATCTGAGGAGGGAATTTTTCCAGCCTCCCTCCTTTTAGAACCTTTTGCCATCTCTGGCACCTTTCCTGCTGTTCCCAGGCTCGAGAGGTTGCTCTGAAGTGCTGTTCCTGCAGAGCCTCTCTAGGGCTGCTTGGGATGTTCATCACCCCTCAGGAAATCTCTGGTGTCCACACTGCCTTGAAGCCAGCTTTGTGATGGCCTTGCTGCTGGCTGTGCAGAGGAATGTCAAATGTGGAATATGAAATGTGTGAGGAGGAAGCACCTTGAGTCGCTGATGTGGTGATGCTCTCGTTCCTCACGGGATCCTGACCTGCACAGAGAGACACAGAATGTGAGTCTTGACCTCCAGTGACATCCAGGAACCAAAGGAATTAATGGAGAGGAGAATGGATTCACAGTAATGCTGGTGATACCTGGGGAAACATGGAATTAATACTCCCACCTCCATACTAAAAGCTTCCCACCAAACCTACTTTGTACTATTTTCCATGGAAACCTAGAGAACCAAAATTCAAATACCCTTTGTAAACTCTTTAGGGTCTGCAGTCCCAGGTTTGAGGCAGAAACAGCAAAACAAGGCTGGAAGACTGAGCTGGGAAAGTTATGGATGTGCTGTAGGTCATAAACATTGAGATTTTAAGTCTGATTAGGGGGAAAAATATTGCAGAGTGTGGGTGTGGATCGAGTGTTTGGCTTGTCTCTGGGCTTGAAATGAATGGATTTGATACGCTGGGTTATCTAGAAGTAATTAAACCAACCAATAAATTAACTTGTACCCCATGTGTGTATGCACAGAGCTTTGTCCCAGCAAGGACTCCAGTTCTCAGTGGGATAAACTGGCTTGTGTGAAGCTGCTTGCTTTGTGACAGCTGCTTCCAGTGCCTGTGCAAGGAAATGTAAAACCAGCCCAAGTGTGGCTCTGTGTTTCCCTTGTACAGAGGAAAAACATCCTTTGCTGCCTCCAGGCTGTTGTTGAACAGCCAGAGTGTCTGCATCGACCTTAATGAGCAGCTACAGGCCCTGCCAGGAGACTCAAAGTGATATTTCAGAGCTTCAGAAAGATCATCTGGAGGTCAGGTAGGATCTTCTTGCCTGTTTTCCCATCCCCACATTCCAGCAGCAGGGCTGCCAGAGGGGATGAGGTGCCTGGAGAGGTGTGGCACTGAACCCAGGTGCTGTCCCACAGCAAACATCCCTGATTTGGAATGGGATTTTGCCAAAAGCCAGAAGAAAAAGGAGAAAAGGCATGAAACAATAAATCTAGAAGCCACAAGGAGCAGAACAGTCTGGAGAAGCAGGGTCTGCTGCTGTACAATTTTTTTCTCCACTCATCGAATTCTTTGTTTCATTCTGAAATTGTTCCTCTAGCCACAGTGGTTTGCCAAGCCTGGCATGGATACCCCATCCCTGGAAAACGTTGGGTCTCACACAACGGCAGACCTGGCTTTTGGAAGCATCAGCACTTTTAGGCAAAGATGTGTGGAGCTTCTGAGTGGTAAATCAGGGCTGGCATGAGCAGCAAATCTGCTCTGAGCAAAGAGCTTGGCTGGGCACAGCCCTGCTGGGTGGGCATCTGTGTGGGCACAGCTGACCACAGCTTCCTCACCTTCTTGTGTTAAATATCTGAGAGGGACTTGGAGAGGCAGAGCAGTTTCTTGACCATTGCAGGTTTTTGAGGCTGAATTTTTAATGGAGGATGAGCTCAGTGTCAGATTTCAGTTTTCCAGTCGCTTGGATTCTGCCCTTATTCTGAGAAAACTCTTATTGAATTCTCCAGTTTGTGCTTACAGGCTGGGTTAAGCAAACAGTCAAAAGCAAAATTCTATTTATTTAAGAAGATTTTAAAAGAGTTCCCCTCTCCTAAACATAGATCCATTGTTCAGCTGCTCAAGTTCATCCCAGCAAATGATGTTAAGAGCATTTATCTCATGTGTTATCACTGCTGATAAAGACACCAGACACGATTTTGGATGGCTCACCCCCCCAAAAAATGACTTGTGCTTGGAGAACCTCTTTGATTTGCCACCAAATTACCTGATCTTATTATTAGTCTCTAAAAGGACAAAGTACCTTGAGGTGTTGGAGGAGGAGCTGCTGTGCTTCTGTTTCCACTGGACTTATCATCTAGATAAAGAAAACATGGGAAAGGGCAATTAATTTGGGAAGCCACTAAAAATTCTACTGTGGAGAGCTCTTGGGTGTCCATGGTGTAAAAATCTTTATTTGCATGATAACTTTTTCTCCAGACAGACATCAGGCTGCCCAATCAGCCAGGTGTGAGTGCTCAGAGTGTACCTGACAGGTGAGCCTGGGGAGGCTGGAGCTGCTCCAATATTTGATAAAGCATGATCTGGATTTTCTGCTATAGCCTTGGCCTGGCTGTGTCCATCTGGGCAGCTGCAATGAGCTGCTCTTTCAGCAAAAATTCAATATTTGCAGAATTGCTGAACAACCAGCACAACGTGGACTAGCCCAATATTCTGATGCCTGCAGTTTGGCTTGGATAAAGAGGGAGGCACAGACAGGTCCTGCCTGAGCAAATATTTGAGTTTTCCATCCTTACCTCTCTCAGTGGTTGCTGTCAGGGTTGTTGTAGGGGTGGGGGAGGTTTTGGCTGTCGTATTTTGGCCCCCAGAGATGAGGTTCAGGTCGGTCAGTGATGCTGTTGTTACTGATGGCTCTGTAGGGAAACGGAGGTGTCACTTCAAAAAAGTCAGCTCAGAAACTGCTTGGAGAGGGCACAGCCATTGCAGAGCCCTCAAATTCCTCCAGAGTTAGGAATAACCTGCTAGGGAAAGCAGGGAAATAGCCTCCATCCTGCCCAGAGTCAAGGAGCTCTTGCACTTTGGAATTTCCTTTTGCTCTTTTCACTGTGAGGAGATGCTGAGCTGGCAGAGCTCAGCAAACACTTGGAGAAAGTCAGGGTTGGCCACTGCTGCTTTTCCCTGCCTTGAAAAGTGAAGGTGAAAAACTTGAAAAGTTTTTTTGTCACCAGACACTTGACCTGCCTGGCAGCCACGTGATGATTTCCTCGTGTTCTGAAATGCCAACTTTCACCTTCCATTTCAGTGAGAGTCTCCAAGCACAAATAATTCAGCTCTGGAAATGGTTTGGAGGCTCCATCCTCTGCCTCAACCTGTTCCAAACTGCCCCTGATCCACAGCAAGAGGTGAGGGGAAAAGTTTTCAATAATCCCTCTGCAGGAAAGGGTGGATCACCAGCTGGGAATTCACAGGCAAATTCTTTGTCTAGACTGCTCCTGGCTTTCCAATAAATTGAGAAAATGGTGAAATGATTTCAAGGTTTCTATGATGGGTTTTTTCCCTCCCTTTATCCAAATGCTTCACTGAAATATCGGAATTTAGGATTAAGTATAAGTTTCTTTTTTTCTGCAAGGCTTAGAAGCAGAAATCTTTTTGAGATCTTATTCCTTGATATTTTTGGGATCTTTTGGAAGGGTAGCTATGCTTAGATTTTTTATTTTTTTTTTCCTGAAACATAGCAGGAAGAGATCTGTCTCCAGAAATCCAAGTGGACACTAACAGATGTGGATCTGGAGCTGGGGAGATAATTTCTTGTGTAATTGGTTTTCTGTACATGTCAAAAATCACAGGAAAGCTTGGGTCGGAAGGGATCTTAAAGATCAGCCAGGATGGTGGAAGGTGTCCCTGCTCATAGGGAATGGGATGAGCTTTAAGGTCTCCTCCAACCCAAACCATTCTGGGATTCCACTCTGTGATCATCTCATTCTCCCTATTCAATTTGAAGACTTTTATCCCCCCCTGGCTTTGCTCACACCTTGATCCCTGTGGGGTGGCTTGGCTGGATCAGAAGCCCTGACACCACAACATTTCCTTCCTCCCCACCAGTGTCCCCTGCACGGCCCTGGGGGGTGGCCCAGTCAGACCAGTTCCACACTGGGGTGTCCCCAGGCTGCTCTCCCCAGTCTCCAGCATTACCTGAGCTGTTCTTTGTTTCAGGGTTCTTTGCTTCAGGGCTGGGTGCTGCAGGCTGGGATTGACCTGGAACACAAGCAGAGGAACAGAGGTGACATTTCCAGGCTGCTGGGATCCCACAAGGAGGGTTGGAGGATGGAGCAGAAAGGGTGAGAGGGGAACAGGAGATGAGGAGAGGCTTTGTCACTGGTGTGGCTGTAGGGACCAGCTCCATTGATGCTGGAAACAGCTGGGGAAAAACAGGGAGCAAAGGATCCCTCTGCTTTCCCCAGGCTTCCTGGAACACAGCCCTGCTCCTTCTGCACAAAAGGGAGCCAAGCCAGGTCACCCTCTTGATACCTCGGGTTTCAGCTTTTCTATTTTTCAGAATCTCTGCTGCTTAGTGTGGAACTCTGAAACTTCACATGAGGTGTCAGTGAGTTCTCTTCACAGGGGACTCAGACAAAACAATTCCTTTCTAGCTGGACAATCAAGGACAACTGGCACCCAAAAAGCAGAAACAGCAGCGAGGGAAAGGGGGCAAGGCAGGGGCTGAGACTTCATAGCCTGGGGCTGTGGGTGGATCATTGACCCCAATGTGCAGATGAACCAAAACTGATAAAAGTGTAAAACTCGTGCCCAGGATCCAGCTGGGATTTGATTTGGGTGTAGCCCTGGCCGGGCTCTTGCACTGCCCGAGGTGAATCCTTTCAATAAATCCCGATTTCATTCCTTTCAATAAATCCCCATTTTATTCCTTTCAATAAATCCCCATTTTATTCCTTTTGCTCTGTCTGGTCCCTGTTCCAGCTCAGCCTTTCCAGGCAACACTGAGGCACAGTGGCCTCCATGTGCCCTGGAGATCTGGGGGTGAGTGGTGATGGTCGGGGCAGGCAGAAGCAGGATCCTGGGAGAAGATCCCTCAAAGGATGGGAGTTTGGGATCAGGGTCCCGTCTGGGGCCTCTCCATTTGCATCCCCCCATTTCCATGTGCACCCACGTGCAGACAGACACATAAAGCACATCACAAGGCACAGGTACCTGTTCCAGCAGGGGTGGAGGAGTTTGTGGGAGCAGCAGGACCTGAAAGGAAAGAGCAGAGTGTGGGTGGTGCTGGTCTGTGCTGGTCACTGCTGTTCTCCTTCCTTGGCTGGTTTGGGTTTTCCTCATCTTCTCTTGGAGTAACTTTGAAATTTGGGATTGCCCCAAAAGCATTAGCAGAGAAGGAGTAGCAAAGAAGTTTTAAAACAATCAGGCTCTGAGTAAATTAGCAGAGGAGTTTTTCCAGCCAGGATAAATGTCCTCCTCCCCTTTGGGGGGCCACAGAAATCCATGGGGTCATTCCCTCCCCTGAGCTGTTTGCCCCAGCTCAGCCCTGGCACAGAAGCGTTTGTGAGCTGTGCTCTGGGGCTGTTCAGAGCTAAGACTCACATTTAAACCCTTTGTTCCCTTGAGACCTTAAGGAATGGATGGATGAGGTTTTGTAAAGGCTTCAGGAGCTGATGGGACCGTTCCCCTACCCTGGGGCTGTGAGTCTGGAGGGAGCTGCTGCCCTCAGGAGCTGCCTTCCCTGTAGGGCTGGGTGTTCCTGGAGTCCATACAAGCTTGTAGGAGTTTCACTGGGTCCCCATTTCCTCAGCTGAAAGGTGGCTTTGTTTGGTTTATTTCTTTGCTTTTCTTCTGGATTCATGACAAAGCATCCCTGCCCCAATCCCTCCCATTTCCCACTCTCAGCACCCCTGATGTTTCCCTTTAAGCCCCAGCTCCAGAGTCCTGTGCTCATGGAATCACAGAGAAGAATATTTTGGTTTGGAAAGGAACTTTCAAGGTCGTCTAAGGGTTTAGATGAGATGCCAATTAAAAATGCTGCCCTTGAAAACGGGAGAAAGAAATGTCCCACGCTCAAGGACAAGACCTGGAAAACGTAAATACACTTTAAATGCTCAAATCCAACCCAGCTGGTTTAACTTTGGGAAGGTGACTTTGAGTGTGTCATTGCTGGAATGCACATCCTAATTGGGATTTTAAAACGGTCATTGCTGGTGACCCTGGTGCTCTCTGTGGTTAAGTTCAATGAAAGAAATGACACCACAGGTACAGAAAGCAGCAGAATCCGACTCCCCTGGTGATCCCTCTGAGCAGAGTCCCGCGGGACAAAAGGGATTTGGGCAGAAAGGGACAGCAGGGAAGGTGGAATCCTTCCAGCACACGGTTCCCTTGTGCCTTTGGAGAGGGTGCAGGGCAGGGTCCAGCCCGGCAGCACCAGCCAGGGCACAGCAGTGCCCATTTCCAGCCAGAACCTGCCCTCCCCTGGGGGCAGAGGCTGCTTCTCATCTCTCCTGGGCTGAGATCAGCCGCCAGAGAGCTCCTGCCAGGCCCCCTTTCTCACCAAAGAGGGGACCAGAAACTTTGAAAACCCTGTGCCTCTGACCTGTCTCACCTGCAACACCTCACCATGGATCCAAACCAAAAGAGAGCAGGGTTAGTTTGGATATAGAGAAGAAATTCTCTCCTGGCAGGGTGGGCAGGGCTGGCACAGGGTGCCCAGAGCAGCTGTGGCTGCCCCTGGATCCCTGGCAGTGCCCAAGGCCAGGCTGGACATTGGGCTTGGAGCAGCCTGGGATGGTGGGAGGTGTCCCTGGATGGGATGAGATGAACTTTAGGGTCCCTCCCTGCCCAAAGCACTCTGTGATTCCAGGATTTGATGCTGTAGGGGTGATGCTGATGAATTTTGGGGTAGGTCCATGAGCTGCTGGTGCTGGGGGAGGCTGAGCCCTGCAGGGAGGGGTGTCTGAAGGAGACCCTGAGCACTGAGGGTGGTCCTGGCTCAGAGCTCACCCTCAGCTCCCTCTGGGTGCACTGAGATCTGACTGATCTCATTTTCCTCATGGAATTGCTTTGGAGCCAGAATTGTTTTTGTGGCCGAGGCTTTATGACAACGATCCCAGCCAGACAGGAAGTGTGTAAACCATGGTGAATACATAATAAAATGTGGTTTATTCCCAGACACGGCTTGGCTGTGGAAATCAGACTGGACTTTTCAGACCTTTTCCATGTTTTTCTGTTCTGATTTACTGGGCAAACTGTCCTGTTCAATCCATGAAAGAGGAGACAGGATCACATCTTTAATCACACATTTTCTAACTCCATTTGCAGCAGGATCAGGAAACAAGGATCCTTATGTGCAGCAAGGAAAAAGGAGGCTGGGAAATAGGAACAGGACTAGTGAGGTGCTAGGAGTGCTTGTGTTGGAGAATTTATGGGATATCCTTCCCTGGGGGTTTTGAAAAACAACCTAAACGAGACAGGGATTTGGGCAGCTGTGCCATCACCTACTAAATCAATTAATGTCATGGGAAAAAAAGATGGTTTAGGCACAGAAAAATTAAAGAGGTGGAAATGCTTCTTTTGAGGAAGGGGGATGATTCTGGATGTGGATTTGAAAATGCCTTAAGATACTCTCTAATTCAGCACAAAAAATGAATTGCTGAGATCATCATGGGGGGTTCAATGTCCTCCAGCAGCTGCCAGACTCAAACAGTTCCTCTTTCTCCAAAATTCCTTTTCAGGACCCATTGTCTTGTTTTCCTTTGGGGAGAACGAGCTGTGGCACATTTATGGAAATGTTCCCAGGTCTTCCATGGACGTGGCATGTGGAAGCACCCAGGATCACTGGAGAAGGAGCTGCTGCCTGCACTTAACCTTTGCCAAAGGAAAAGGGGGATGAAGGTGCTGAGCTGGACATTCATTCCACCACTTTTTGGTGCAGATGAGGAGAAATCTGAGAGCTTTGATGGGGATGGGAGGAAGCTGAGGGTGAGGAGGTGACATTGCCCTGTTCTGCCATCCCTGATGGGACCATCCCCGGGCCAGCTCCAGCATCCCTTGGACAGGAGGAAATGATTGAACTCAACATTTTCTTCCCTGCAGCTCATCCTATCACTGAGGGGCACACTGAAGTTCTCTGTTTGCAAACCTAAACCTTGTGGTTAAAAGATAAAAAAAGACAAAAAAGATAAAAAAGCAGGGTTTTTTTCCCCACTGCTCAGTCCCCAGAGTTGCTGTGGCTGGGCTGATGCTCGCCCTGCTCTTGCTGTGGAGAGGCTGAGGGATGGAGATCCCTGGTTGCAGTCAGGGTTCCAACAATCCCCTTCTGGCATTCTGCTCCGGAATAAACAGCCCTGGCTTCTCTAAACACATCCACGCTTCATTCCAAAGCACAGCAGTCCTGGCTCTGACTTCTGGCTGCTGCTGCTTGTTTTGCCTTCCCTGCCAACTCAAATAAGCAAAAAATCCTGTTCTATTGGCAGTTTTCTTTTGGGGACGGTGCTCAGCATCATCAGGAGCAGGATGGATCAGTGCAAAGCAGGATGAGACCAAACTCCCATTGTGGGGCTGGGCAGCAGGATGGGGATGAACAAAGGCACGTGTGGCTGCTCCCTGAAGATATCCCGGGGGGATTTTGGAGCTGGAAACCATCCCCTGCCAGCATGGACAGCCCTGGCTCTAGAAACAGCTCCCAGCAATAATCACACAGGCACAGCTGGAATTGCAATAAACATCAAAGCCCTGCCACGAGGCCGAGCACTGCCAAGGAGTTTGTTGCGTGTTTGGGTGCAAAGGATTTACAGCTGGATTGTGCAGCCCTGGGTGGAGCTGGCCGAGGGATTTATGATGGGAAATGTGGCTTTGTGCTGTCATGGGGAAGTCCCAGTGAGCCTGGGAGCTGCAGCTGCAATTCCCAGCCGGTGCTCGCTGCTTCCTGGCTTATTTTTCCGCAGGGTAAACAGGAGAATTTTGGATTTCTGGTTTGGACAGTTGATTTTCTGTGGGGTTAGGTGTGTTTAGACTGATCTGGAGTCTCCTCTCATGGCAGCTGAGTTATTTCCAAAGCCAGCAGCTCACCCCACTCACTCCTCAGCACAAAGAGAGCGAAGTCAACCAAAAGACAGGTGAATTTTAGGTATTTCTGCTTTGGTATTCTTTTTGGCAATTGTAGACATTTAAAGCATGTTTTTTTTCCAGCTGCTGACCAAAGAGAGGAACTTCTTTAAACCCCCAAACTTTGCCAGGGCCTCTTATAGAGACCTGAGCCAGCTGTTGGAAGGGTTTCTAGATGAGGCTCAAGGTGTCCAGGCTGTGTTCACAGAGGGCTGGAGTCACTGGGGGGGATCTCTGGCTCTGTGTGGAGTCACAGGAGCTGCTCCTGTCCACTCTCGAGTGCTGATGGCGAGGGAGCACCTACCCCCAGAGACAGAGAACCCTCCCCTGGCAGGTTTGGGGGTGTCCCACCTGCAGAGCCCACGGGGCAGGGCTGCACCTCTGTGCTTGAAAACACTTTCAGAAAAGAGACCCAGCAAGCTAAAAATAGGCTTTGAAACTCAGATATTGGCACTTCTGTCAGGTGACCCAAGACAAAAAAAAAAACCCAAACCCAACCACTTAACACAGGTGCAGCTGTTTCCTGGGTGAAACACAGCAGCAGTGAGCAACACCCAGTTCTTAGGATTTCCACATGGAAAAAAAATCCTCATTTGGGAAATCTGGAAAGCAGAGAGCTCTGCCAAAACCTAGGTCCTGTTTTATTAAGTGCCTAAATAAGGTGTCTGTGCCTTGAGGGTCTCACAGCAGAACAGGTGGAGTGGGAATTGTGGAGAGAGAGGAAAGGAGTTGTTCTGCAGGGATGCAAAACTGGCAGCCCAAATCAGGGCCACATCCACAGAAATGTTCAAGTGCCTCAGTCCCAAATGGCATGGGGGGGTTGGCATCTGGCTGCCAAGTTGTTCTCAATTGCAATGACTCAGTCCGAGTGTTATGGAAAGTTTAGAGAGCCAGGAATGAATCCCGGATCTCATCAGCAATTAGAATTAATCGTTGCCTTCCTCTGCCCGTCCTCAAGGGCTGGGCCTGAGCATCCTCTCCAAGCACCACATTCCATGCTCCTCTCTGCTGAGCCAGGATGGATGCACATCTCAGTGGGAGGCAATTCAAACCCACTTGGATGTAGAAAACAACCCAGGAGATGAACAATGTGGGGAAGCAGCGAGCCCAGAGCAGCTCTGTGCATCCCTGTGCTGGTTTTTCCATGTGAAGGGGATGTTCCTGGAAGGAAAAGCAGCCTGGCTTTTCTCCTGCTCCACCAGGCTGCTGCTCCATCACCCTCCCAGCTGCTCCCCTGCTTCCATTCTCCTCCTCCTCTGCTGATTTTAGAGCTCTGGGTTTGCTCCTGCTCATCTGGGTCCTGTCCTTCTCCTGGGCTGCTCCTCAGGTTTGGAGCTGGGATTTTGGAAGGGAAATCACTCCATGCTCAGTGCAGATGAAAAATGGGGGCACCACCAGGCCCAGAGCCCAGCCTGTGCTCTTTGCCTACCTACACTTTTAAAATAATATTATTTATTAGCAGAGCTCAAAGAATTTTACAGAAGAGACTTCCCAAGTTTCTTCCCAAATTAATGACTCTTTCCAGTAATTGTGAGATCCCCCAGGTTTATTTGAGTGCTGCTCCATGGTGTTTATGAACCAGCAAGCAGGAATTTGATCTGCTGGGATTGGTTCAGGACACAAGGGTGTGAAAGGGTTCCTTCCTAAATTCCTAAAGGGATTTCTCATCATTCCTGATCTTTCCACCTGCTTTTCTTGAGTGTCCTGGCTTGAGAGCCAGGGGAGCAGTTGAAGGATAACCCTGCTTGGAAAAGGTTCCAGTCTCACAGAAGCAACAGCTGCAGCCAGGTTAAATCACCTTGGCCTGACAATTCACCTGAGGCCGGATTTTGGGTGAGTGACCCAAAATTTATTCCCACATTTCCTGACTCTTCATGTATCCCCCATATCTCACATCCCCACAGCGTGGGCAGCAGGGCAGGGGAGGATTCTGTCCCTCTGCCCTGCTCAGGTGAGACCTCACCTGCAGCTTAAGGACATTCCCTGTGTGCTGTCCCTCCATGCCTTGTCCCCAGTCCCTCTCCAGCTCTCCTGGAGCTCCTTTGGGCACTGCAAGGGGCTCTGAGCTCCCCCTGGAGCTTTTCCTTCTCCAGGTGAGCACCCCCAGCTCTCCCTGGAGCTTTTCCTTCTCCAGGTGAGCACTCCCAGCTCTCTCTGGAGCTTCTCCTTGTCCAGGTGAGCACTCCCAGCTCTCTCTGGAGCTTCTCCTTCTCCAGGTGAGCACTCCCAGCTCTCCTTGCAGCTTTTCCTTGCCCAGGTGAGCACCCCCAGCTCTCTTGGGGCTTTTCTTTCTCCAGGTGAGCACCCCCAGCCTTCCCAGCCTTCCCCCTCTGCCCATCCTGGTGCCTGCTCTGGGCTCAGATGGGAACTTCTCCCTAATTGAGGTGTTTTGGGTCGTGCTGGGTGGAACTGGAGCCAGGAGAGCTCCGAGCTGGGGCTTTGCTGGTGCTGCAGGAGCCCCAGCTCCCCCTTCTCCAGCCTGGATTCCCAAGCCAGGAGCATTCCTGTAAGGACACCTGTTGTTGACTCACCGATTGTAAAAGGGACAGAATTCCTGGAAGCTGCTGCAGTCGGATCTGCAGAGTCACCCAAGGGTTTCAGGTTACCGGAGGGAGCAGTCTGTTGTGTGAACAAACATTTCTCCAAACCACCTCCTGCTTTCTCTTCCTTGTTCACCACCAGGCCTGGGCTTGGCTGAGAAATTTGCTTTAGGATGCCCAGGTTTGAGGATGGAAGTCTGGAATGTGGGTGCCTGTCCTTTAGCTGCGCCCCTTCTTTTTGATTATATCAAAAATATCTCTCAAAAATATATCTCAAAATACGTCTCTGCTTTGGAAATACCACATTTCTCGTGGCATTATCCATCCACAGGCTGTGGCACAGATAAGGGGAGCAGTGGATGGAACAACAACAAGAGTGGGAAATCCTGCTGGGTTTTCACCAGCTTTGAGGAGGAATTTTTGCACTGGAAATCTTTTGTGTGGAAAAACGCCTGCCCATTGTAATGGGAAGGGTCCATAGGAAAAGGTTTGTTTGGATAAATTTTCTGCTAAGTGTTTCTGGGGGGAGGAAAAACAAATTGGAAATGTGCCAGACCTTCTCATTTCAGCAATTTCGAAATAACAGTTTGAACCTCCCTTATCTGAACGTCCCTTCAGAAATAACCATGAGAACGGAGAAGTTTAATTGAGGAAAGGATAAATTAATAAAACACTGAATTTGCACCAAGCAAAAGCAAGAAAAGCCTGTGTGGGACCAGGCAGGTGTTTGTGCTGATTTTTTGTCTCCTCCAGGTCACCTCCACCTCCCCCAGGGTGGGGAGCCTTGTTCCAGAGCCCCTAATTCCCTTTTCCAGGAATTCCCCATGCTGGGAAATCACTGCCCCTCTCACTGAGCTGCTGCTTTGCCTTGTTGCAGAAGCTTCCCCGGGGGCTGTAAAATTACAAATGAAATGAAAAATCCATTTTGGGGCTGTTGGGTGAGCGCAGAAGAGGGAGGCAAGGCTGGTTTGGTGGCAGTGCTGTGTCCCTGCCCCTGGTCTCAGACTCAAAGGTGGCTTTGGGGGGACAGAGTGATGCTGTGGGGGCTGGAGGATGGAGGGTGGCATCCCTTCCACCTGGTGGGAGCTGGAAATTTGGGCAGTGCCTCGGGCCTGACCCCCTCTGTGCCATTCCTGTCCCATAAAAACCATCCCAGAGAGTTTTCAGAGGACAAGCAGAGTTCAGGGTGGGCACTAAGGAGGGTCACAGGGTGGCCAAACCCCTTGATGTGATCCTTGCTCTGATCCCAGCACAAAGGCAGCAGCGTTGTCCTCTAATGAAGAGAGAAAATTTCCAATCCACGTGCTCTTATTTCTTGGAATTATTCAGCTACAAACCGAATTGCTTTCTATTTTCTACGGAACGAGGTGATCTTTCCTTTCCAACACAAACCATTCTATGATTCTCTGCCTTTTAAGAAATCCCATTATTACCAGCACAGTGGCTGTAACCCGAGGCAATTTCTATGGTTTAATGATAAAACCTCGGAGTTGGAGACACATTATTTTATATTCCTTTGAATGTATTCCAGCTCCCAGCTACTACAGCTGTCAGCAAGGCAAGAGGGGCCTGACAATGCAGGGAAAAGCAACCTGTCATCCTTTGGAGCAGGAAAGCAGCTCCTTCATCCCACACCTCGATTCATATGGGAGAGAGAAGTTAAAGCAGAATTCCCCCAGAGCAGCAGAATTATTACAGCAAGGACGAGGTGTGCTCTTGCACGTGGGCTTTGTATTTCTATGAACGAGAGGGAAAAGCGCAAATAAAAAGTATTTTTGAAGAAAAAAAACGGTCCTGTACATTGAGACATTCCACCTTATTTGACAAAAGCCACTTAGTCCAAATGCCTCAGCAGCAACACTCCCCTCATTAACCGGGAAACAAATCTTTCAGCACTGCCAAACCAACCCTGAAAACTTGACAAAGGCACATTTTCACATTTCAGGGTGACTCCTGCCACCCCTGAGCTGGAAGGCTGAATGAATTCCCAATGGCAGCTCCCACACCTTCCAACCTCTGCCCAGTTCCTTGGGGATTAATTAAAAGGAAAAATTAATTTTGGAGAGGAATGATGGGTTTGTCTTTACAAACAAGCTGTGGGTCTGCTGGTAAAACCAGCACTGAGACATAAAAGAAACAATGGGAAGGATTACACTGATTGATGAATGGAAAAAAAGATATTTGCTTTTACAAACAAACTGTAGGTTTGCTGAAAAATGAGATTGGATATTGAAAGGTGAAATTGGATAGCAAAAGATGAAAGAAGCAATGGGGAAAAATTATGAATTCTGTAAGAATTAACAATTAAAAGCGAGGGTTGTACATTAGAGGGGAATCTCAGGTATCAGGTGTTCTGGGAAGTCTGGACCTCTCCAGTACCTCAGCCCATGGGGAAAGAGAGAGGGAACTTGGGATAAAAAGGGAGGTGAGTGCTCAAAAAATCTGAGAGACCCCAGGGGAATGTCCCATGGCCTCTCCCTGTATTCGAATAAAGCACAAAGGACTCCTCTGACTCCTTTTTGGACATAAACCTGTGATGTTGGTGGATTAATTTTCCTGATTCCTCCCCCTCCCCAAACCCCCCCGGGGCTCACCTGGGAGCAGCAGGAGGAGCCCGAGCAGAGGATGGACGGACGGGAGCAGCATCTCGGCGCTGCTGCGAGCCTCTGGCCATGCCGGGAGCGAGCGGAGCCGCGATCCGCCTGCCCGCGCCGGCTCTGCCACGGCTTCCTGTGGAAGAATTGCAGGAAACGGGGCTGAATCCACAGGGGAACTGTGTTTTTCAGCCCTTTATGGCCGGGGAGGATGTGAGACATCGCAGAGGAAACCTCGCCGGGTTTTTGCCGGGGATGCGGCTCCCGGCACGGAGGGATGCTCTGCTGGGTGCTGGCGATTTTTGGGTTTTGTGTGTGGGAGGGTGTCCCCAATGTCCCGTTCCCCCAACATCAGCCTGGCTGGGCTGAGAGATGCTGGAGGAGCATCCCCGCCATCTGAGAGAGGGTTTCTTACACATCCACGGGGGATTTAGGAATAACTGCTCCTTGTGGGGTCAGGGCAGCTCAGCAGCTGCACCGGCCCCGTTCCCTGTGCCCCCCTGGGCAGCTCCAGCGGGTCTGGAGACATTCCAGCTTTGGGATGGTGACTTGACTTTGGGATGGTGGCTTTGAGGTGGTGGCTTTGGGATGGTGGCTTTGGGATGGTGACTTTGGGACATGCCAGCTTCAGGATGGTGGCTTTGGGATGGTGGCTTTGAGGTGGTGGCTTTGGGGTGGTGGCTTTGGGACGTGCCAGCTTTGGAATGGTGGCTTTAGGATGATGGCTTTAGCACATGCCAGCTTTGGGGTGATGGCTTTGAGGTGGTGACTTTGGGACGTGCCAGCTTTGGGATGGTGACTTTAGGATGGTGTCTTTGGGATGGTGACTTTGGGACATTCCAGCTTTGGGACATGCCAGCTTTGGGATGGTGACTTTGGGATAATGGCTTTGGGATGGTGGCTTTAGGATGATGGCTTTAGGACATGCCAGCTTTGGGATGGTGGCTTTGAGGTGGTGTCTTTGGGGTGGTGGCTTTGGGATGGTGGCTTTGGGACGTGCCAGCTTTGGGATGGTGGCTTTGAGGTGGTGTCTTTGGGGTGGTGGTTTTGGGATGCTCCCCTTCAGGCAGCACAGCCTCCCCTCCCTGCAGGACACACAGCACACTCTGGGCTGGGACCCACCCCATCCCCAGTCCCTGGAGAAGGGGAGGAACTGGAAAACTGGGCAGGTTCTGCCCCCATGCAGCCCGAGGGGTTCAGGAATTTGGGTTTTTGGCCCTGACCTTGTGCTGGTCCTGCCTGTGCCAGGGTGAACTCCACAGGTTCTGATGGATGTCAGGGGGTGTTTGCAGTTTTAGTGTCCCCACCTAGGAAAGGCTCCCGTGTCCTTCTCGGGGGGTCTGTGGGGGTGTTCAGGATGCAAACACAGAGGATTCTGTCTCCTGGTCTGAGGGGCCCCCTCCACAGCCCCCCAAAAGCCACAGAGCCTCAGCCAAAGGCAAAGGAGATTCTCCTTCACTGCGTGGAGTGCTGCCAGCAGGATCCTTGTTCCCACAGCTGGCACACAGCAGCAGGACTGCAGGGACTGATCCCCCGTGCATGGCACAGCTCCTCACATTCCATGGGTCTCTTCCAACCCCTCCCAGCCCCCAGGAAAAACAGCAGGCCCAAGGCTCCTCCAGAGCAGCCTTTGCTGGGACAAAGCCCCTGCCAGCAGCTCCCCCACCATGCTTTTGTCCCTTGCACAGATGTGATGCTCAGAGATTATGCTGTAGATTAAGGTTTTACTGAATCCTGAAATGAGTACAAATACCCAGAAGCTCACACGCAGTTAAATCTCTTCTGGATGCTCGGCTGGATGGTGGAAAAGGCATTTCCCACCCTGTCCTCCCCACGTGCAGGAGGGACAGAGCCCAAATAGTCACCCCAGCCTGTCTGCTGCGAGCCTGCAGGTAAGGGCAGCGGTGTTTTGGGGTGGAAGGATGGGAAGATTTGTTTTGTAACGGCTGGAACTCTGAGGGATCCGTGTTTTCTGCCCTGTGGTGTGCTCGAGGTCACTCCTGGGGCAGAGGGTGTGACACACAGCCCCCCTGGGCCAGGGGGATGTACCTGTGTGAGGGGAGGGATGTGCCAGCCCTGACGTGGCGCTGTGACCCCCAGCAGCTCACACAATCCTTTGGGTTGGAAAAACCCCCAAAATCCCCGAGGATTGGAACCGGAGGCTCAGAGCATCCAGATCTCCCCGTGGGCTCACCCACAGCCGTGCTGGTTCTGCAGCAGCGGGACCCCCGGCAGGGACCCTCACCCCCGGGGCTGTGCCATCCTTGGGGACACACACAGCCTGGGGACACCGCGCCGGGCTGTGCCAGCAGCTCACACGCACGACGGGACATTTTTTTACACCACATTCGAATTTCACGCCCCGCCAGGAGGTTTCCTGCAGCCAGAGGGGGAAGGAGGGAGGGAGGGGAGTTGTCCCCAGACAAGGAGCCCTTGTCCCGCAGCGGGGACGGGAGGGTGGCAGCGCTGATGTGGCAGCGGGCAGGGACGGCGGCAGCGCTGCCCGCGGGATGAGCGGGCTCTGCCCCCGTGCCCGGGGAGTCCCGGAGGGGCCGGGCCGGGCCGGGCCGTGACGTGGCAACTTCCGAGGTGAGTCCGGCTGCACCTTCAGCGGAGAGAACCGGGCGGCTCGTCCCGCTCGCCCCGCCGGCAGCTTCGCAAGCCCGCCGCCGGAGAGGATGATTGCCAGGCAGCAGGGACGGCCAGGTACCCCGAGGGGCTGGCAGGGTTCTCCTGCCTCCCTTTCCTGTCGCCCCCACCCTGGTACCCGGCAGGGATGACTGACGGGGGTGGGTCCCTCTGGGATTTGCTCCTGGATCAGCCCCGTGGGGCTGGAGGGCGGAGAGGGGAGCGCAGGGGGAGAGCCCAGGACGAGGGGATGCAGGGCATCCCACAAACCCCCAAATCTCCCCTTTCGGAGGACACTCAGGGATCATCCCAGCAGGGCGGGAGGTGAGGCAGGGACGGGCTGTGCTCGGTGGTCACCCGGTGTCCCTGTGCCAGGTGAGCCCTGTGAGCCATGAACGCCTCGGTGACGGGCAGCCAGCTGCGACAGCCGCCCGACGTGGCCGCCTTCACCCCCGTGTCCATCGTCAGGAGCGTGAGCCGCAGGTCGGACGCGCTGCCCGTGATCTCCGGTATCGTGGTGGTGTTCGTGCTGCTGGCCGTGCTCATCGTCCTGGCCGTGCACTACGGGCCCCAGCTGCGCACCGTGCAGGTCACGCTGTACCACGAGCCCATGGGGCAGAGCACGGACAGCGTGCTGCTCACCCGCTGGAGGCAGCTGGAGCCCCGAGGGAAGCTGCCCTCGGCTGGGGTCACCTGCCACTGCTCCTGCAGCCATCATCTTCCCCACGGCACTGCTGAGCCCAATGTCATCGAGATCACCTACCTGTGACACCTCCCGGCCAGGGCTCAGGGGATGTGTCCTGCTGGAAAAGCTGCCATGGGATGTTCGTGTGTCCTGGGACTCGTCACTGCTCACACACGGAGGCTGCATCACCCCAGAGCTGTGTCTGACCCCACGAATGCTCAGCCAGGACATTCAGGGTCCCTGCAGAGCCCTCCTGGAGGCCACACCACCCCAGAGCTGTGTCTGACCCCAGGAATGCTCATCGAGGACATTCAGTGACCACCACTGGCCCCCAAAAGCCCAGCCCAGAGGTGTCACTGTCCCCAGGCAGGAGCTGGATCTCAGCCCAGGCTCTGGGACGGCTCAGCCTACGTGGGACAGTTTTAACATCTCTTCTGGTTTTACCTGTCCTGGTTTCACCTGTCCCACGCTTCCTGGGAGTGGCCAGCAGAGCTGCCTCGCTCCTCGCCCCAGCTGGGGAGCTCTGGGGCCGTGCTCAGCCCCTGGCAGTTGCTGGAAGTTGCATCATCTGGAATCGCTTTCCAGTGAAAGATATTTCCACACTCACAACGTCCTTGTTCCACTGTTTATATGGCACAGAGAAACTTCCAGCCCCTCTTTGCTCCGTGCCACAGCCCCCTTTCCCACCCCGGGGGGGCTGGAGCATCGTCCTGCCCCTGCCACCCCCCAGCCCCCCGGGCACACAGCCGGAGGAGAGCAGGGCAGAGGATGCAGATCCTGATTCCGTGTGGGGTGGGGCCAGTGACAGAGGACAACGTGTCCTGTCCCCAGTGGACGTGACACAGCAGAGGCAAGAGGGGTGATAATGGCACATCACAGCTGGATGAACATCTGGGGGTGTTGGCACCTGAGGGGAAGAGCCTGCAGCATCTCTGTGCAAATGGATGGGGGGACCTGAGGCCACCCTCACTGTGGTCACTCTCACTGTGGTCATCTCTCTGTCCCCATCCCTGGCTACTGGGATGTCCCAAGGTGAGGTTGGCACCCTCAGTGGGGTGGTGTTGAGGTGGCTGTGTCACCCTGGGGACAGCCTTGTTGGGGTGGCACAGAGGGACACAGCCCTGCAGGCTCCTGGGGCTGTCAGAGCAGGGTCTCTGTTCATTCCTGGGGTGTCAGACCATGGTCCCTGTCCATCCCTGGGGTGTCAGGACATTGTCCCTGTCCATCCCTGGAGTGTCAGGGCATTGTCCCTGTTCATTCTTGGGGTGTCAGGGCATTGTCCCTGTCCAGCCCTGGGGTGTCAGGACATTGTCCCTGTCCATCCCTGGTGTCAGACCATGGTCCCTGTCCATCCCTGGGCTCTCTGCTGCTGCAGGCACTGGGATCTCTCCAGTCCCAGTTTCTCCTCCCGTGGTGCCTGCAGTGCCTGGGGAGGGAGCAGCAGATCCTCCACAAGGATTTATTCTGCTGGACAGCCCCAGAAAGTCACAGCTCCCACCTCTCCCACTGAGGAAAAGCCAGGACTGTGCCTGCCCCCAGAGCCCTGCACAGATCCCTGTGGGCACAGCTGGATGGGCTTTACCTGTTCCTGCAGGTGCTGGGGGTGTTCCTGACGTGGCAGAGCTCCAGGATCCCTCCTCTCACTCCTTTCCAGCCCTGTCCTTGTTTTAAAGCTGGGTAGTGGTTGCATTTGCTGGAAACTTTTTGTCTCCACAACAAATATAATTTATATGACCTTT